GTATCTTTAAGATGACGATATGGATCAATGTTTTCATTTTGCATCGATATAATCGGATCGTTAATCAATGAATCGATGTATCGATGTGGATCGATGTATCGTTACACCCCTAGTGTACAGAGTATTATTTGGCACTAATCTGCTGAATACATCTGCCTGCTGTGGCCAAGAACAACACTGTGAGAGCGCTGCAAGTGAACCAAGTTGCGGGCCATAAAACCAAAGCAATAAGCACGTCTGGGTTTGTCATTACCAGTGACTCCTTTCACACAGGCTACATGTAGTCATATGTTAATAAAAACTATTGATTACAGCAGCTTAAACTGTTCACTTTTGACTTTTTACACAACAACCCACCTAACCCCGGGGAGATAACGCTGCTAATATGATGTTTTTGTCATGCACTGCTATAAAAATGACTCATCAGGATACCAAAGGTCAACAATAACCTAATCAATGCTGGAAGTAGGCTACAGTTCACAACCTCATGAAGTACAGACTCTTCGTCGACAGTCATGTTATTCAGTTATTTCCTTTCTTTTCAGTTTCTTTTAAACGCTACAGGCTTTTATTTTATCGACTATCTGATCTGGCTTGCTGCAAACACAATATCCAATATCCAGGCTGAAAGAGCCTGAAGGCTTGTGTGACACAGATTAATGAATGGGTCAAATTCCTCTCTGGTCTTAGTAAACAGTCAAGGTACAGTTGTCCAGAAAGAATGTAAGGGTGAACATCAAGGGCATGTGATAACATTTGATTTATGAAGGTTTTTCAAGGCCCTTCGCAGTAATGACCCACCTACACAGGTGTTTTCATTTATCATGACTGATTAGATCTCCCCTCAGAGCTGTGTGGGTGTGTCTCAGACTGCACTTGATCAACATGTTCATTATTATCCTGTTACATTTTGTTGTATATTTCTGACACCTCCTAGGTGCAAACCAAAACCCCCCCACCCACCCACTACTTATTTTTTCAGTGAGACGCATTAGCTTCGGATTGCTTTGCAGAGGGTTCAATTTAAAGCCCCAGTGGCTTTGGGGTTAAGATGCCACTGACCATGAAAAGCAAAGTTTGGATCCAATCCAGCCGTGAGCCTTTGTCGCTTCCCTATTGTTGCCAGCTATTACAGCCGTAAAATGTCATTGAGCAGCTTCGTTATCAGGCTCCTGGTATTGTGCATGCTGGGCTGGCTCACGGTCACTGAGACACCTGAATATAACAGAGCCATTACACCTGTGCTTTTCCTATTATGACAAGTCAAAATGTCCGCTGTTAAAAGGACCTATAATACCGAATGCTTCTGTACTCATAAGTGTAGCTGCACTAGTGAGTAAGAAAGCAGATGAGTGCCTTTACTAAAATGTCGAACATTTGCTGAGTTTAGTGTTTCATTAATTGGTCCAGTAAATAAGACATTGATGATGTTTTTGCTTCTTCCCTGGCTGTACTGTTGCTGTATTTGTGGTGGTATGACAAGTAAATAATACCTGCATTGAACATGTGTTTCTTGCATCAACAGTACCACTGTCGTTATAGTGATTATTGATTTTTTCTAAACTGTTTGACTCTTTCAGAAATAATCCGCCACCATGTTCCTGACCCTCACCCTGCTGCGGAAAGGCATCCCCGGGAAGCAGTGGATCGGAAAGTATCGCCGCCCACGACAAATTACGTGGCAGATGAAGCGCAATATGGTGAAGAATCTGGAGCGTGAGGCTGAGAACGAATACTGGATCAGCAGGCCGTACATGACTCCGGAGCAGGAGTACTGCCACGCCGTGGAGCGCAGGGCCGAGAACTGGCTCAAGATCAAGGAGGCCAAATTTGCCAAGTTTCCTGAGCACAAGCACATCACAGATCACCTGAGTCATCTCAAAATCACCAAGACTTGGTCAAGTTAACGTGAGCAGAGAAATGACAAACAAAGACTGTCGCTATGATGTGACAATATCACATGTTTGTGTGTGCAAGAAAGCTTGGTTTCGTTAATGTGTGTTAATGGGAAGCAGGACTTTGTGTCAGCTGATTATTGTTAACCACATCCACAGTTTTGACCCTGTCTGCCTCCATGAAACAAATCTGTAAGCTGTTTGTTTGGGGTTCTGTATCACAGACTAAACACTGCAACAGGACTGTAATTACTCCACATTCAGTGCAGCTCATCGGATAAAAACAGATTAACATTCTACACCTGATCTGTGGCTCCTTACTTTAGCTCTCATTAACAAAATACACTTTCAAGTTGAGGAAACACATGGCCTCCCAACGGTTATAAAATCTTAATAATTATAACTGCTGAAGGAGGAAGTTCCATGAGGGAGATGGTGGAGGAATTATATAAATAGTCTGGGGAAGTTGGGGCAAAATTATGTAATTCTACAAAGGGTTAATTTCACTGTAATATAGCAGAATGCATTCTGCTGTTTTACATTAATGTATTAAAGGGATGTGGCAGTCAGTGAGCCCAATTTCAGCTGAAACTAGAGTGTTTAATCCCTTTGAAGTCAGGAAATCCAGGAAGGAATACATTTGCAAGGTTCATAGAAGTGCTCTCCCTTTATTACTGGATACTTACTTACTTATACAGTTTTTGCCATATTTTGGAGCCTTGTGATTCTCTGAAATCTTAGCAATGTTTCTGTCCAGGAAAAATAGGCTTCTGTGAGGTTGTAAGACATGTTAGTCAGTGGCTACCAATGCACTGTGCAGGAGTTTGACCCTCAATTAAGTTTCCATCTGCAGTCTGGTCACATGCAAGATACTGTGTCGATGATAACAGTTATTGCCATGACCCCTTTTTTTATTCCATCAATATCTTACGTAACTACAGGAAGAGCCGGCACGTGGTTCTCCTGCTCTTTCATAACCTTTTAAGGGTTGAAGGGAGTCATTAGAAAGCTAGAAGGTTTGTGCACCATAAAACACAAAGCAAACACTGACTCAGCGATCACCAGTACTCACATGGAGCCATGAACATGGGGCTTTTTTGTCTTTATTGGTAACACTTTCCCTGGCCAGCCATGAACCAATGTGTTCACCACTAAGTGGACAAACAACAGCATGGCTCAGCTGTTTGTAACCTTTTAAATTGGTTGAGCACAGAAGTGTAATATCCAGCACACAGAGCCCTGCTGGTTCTGATTTACACCTGTGAACAGACTGAGAGGACAGAAAACCAGCAGAAACTTTTCGTGACCTTTTTATTTTCCTCACCGAGACTATTTTTATGCTGTGTATTTGTTTAATTTTGATGTTAATATTGTCACCAGAAGAATTACGTGAGGTCTGTCTTACTTTGGGCACCGCAGGGTCCAAAATAATTGAGCAGGATTAATGAGCTGGTGGGGAAAATGCAGTCTTTGAAAGAGCCGATTTTACTGCAGGAGTCAAAGGGGGAAAAAAGAATCCACGTCTTAGAATTGCTGCTCCTTCTGGGACGCTTGTTTCAAGAACCTGACTGTAAGCGATTAATCCATGAAAAACGTACTAACAATCCTCGTGGGTCGAGCGCAGGAAGCTTTCCCAACTGCTCCTCTGTGTGGTTATACACTGAAAACTGAAGTGAGCGCAGTTCCAGGTCGTCAGCGGGTCTTAAATTCAATTTTATAAATATTAGGCCGTAAAAGTCATGAAAGAGTTTAAATTTTGAGTTTGGGAGGATGTCATTGCCACAACATTTTATCTAATTTGACTAATTTATCTGTTTGCCACAGGTTTAAGATAAAGATTTTTTTATGGTCACACATTTCTTAAAATCCATGTAAGTGAGCCCTCTCTACAAAATAATCCATCCCTCTGACAGCATCATTACGACACAGGTGCGCCTTGGGATTGTCACAATGAAAGGCCACTCTTAAAATGTGCAGTTTCATCACACAACACGATGCCACAGATGTTGCAGGTTTTGAGGGAGTGTGCTATTTGCATGCTGACTGCAAGAATGTCCACCAGAGCTGTTGCTCATGAACTTAACGTTCATTTGACTGCCTTTAGCCGTCTCCAGTGTTGTTTCCCTGAAATTAGCAGCACATATGACTGTCCTCACAAGTTTACGATGACAAACTGCTCAGATCAAGACCCTGGTGAGGACGATGAGCATGCAGATGAGCTTCCCTGAGACGGTTCCTGACAGTTTGGGCAGAAATTCCTTGCTAGTGCAAACCAATTGTTGCATCAGCTGTTCAGGTGGCTGGTCTTAGATAATCTGGACGTGTTCTGAGGTTGCGAGGCCGGTGGGACGTACTGGCAAAATCACAGAAATGACATTGGAGAGGTCTTCTGGTCGTGATATGAACATTGAGTTCACAGGTGACAGCTCTGGTGGACATTCCTGCAGTCAACTCCCTCAAAACTTGCGGCATCTGTGGCATTGTGTTGTGTGATTTTTATTTACTGTGACCATCCCAAGGCACACCTGTGTAGTCATGATGCTGTTTAATCAGCATCTTGATATGCCACACCTGTCAGTTGGATGGATTATCTTGGAAAAGTAGTACTCACTAACACAGATTTTAACAAATTTGCAACTAAAATTTGAGAGAAATATATGTATTGAGTGCATAAAAAGTCCTAGATCTTTAACTTAAACCTGCGTGTTGCATTAAAAAATTGGTTCAGTGTTCTTACTTGCAATGCTTGAATAAGTAACAGATGATTTGTCCAAACATCAGTCTTAAATTTGGTTAAAATTGCACTCAAGTAAAAACATAGGAACATTATCAGAAAAAATTACATAGAGAATCAAAAGTTAAAGTGCTTTTTCTGCAGAGAAAAACTGTCTAATATTTAACTCAACTTTATTTATATAGCAGCATTCATACAAACATGCAGCCCAAAGTGCTTCACATTGCAAAGTTGGAATGACACAGACACAAGACGGTGAAATATTAAAAAGCAAACCAACCAAACTAATGAAAAATATGATTAAAATAAAATAATAGAATAAAAATAGAGTAAATGAATAAATAAAATAGAATAGAAATGAACAGGAGAGATTACAAAAAGGTAAAAACAATTAGAGAAAACTTTTAAAAAGCCAGAGAGCATCCTAGAGAGCATTTTATAAGCGTGTCATTTGTGTCTTAATCTATAAAATAACCAGTATAGAAGTTCAGCACAGTGACTTTACTGTGAGTCCACACATTGAGTCGTCCAGCAGATGGCGCTCCAGGCCCTGTTAGTGACCCATGCGGAGGAGCAGAGCCGCGGCCCCTCCTGCGCCCAGGCGTTGTTTTCGTCTCCTGGATGATGAGGTGCGTAAAGAGGCGCCAACGCACCGCACCGGGCTGAGGAGGTGGCTGATGAGCAGACCAGACAAACAGCTCCTCTCTCCGAGACATCCGCACAAGCGTCTCAGAGCCGGAGAGATACCATGAAGGAGACGCACGGCAGATGGAGGAGTAAAGATTCACCTGCAGAGCACTGAGTGAAGAGGCAGCATGGCGGGGGGTCGGAGGGGACTTGTGGCCCCTCAGAATACTTTTTTGGAGAATATTGTCAGACGGTCGAACGGTAAGGATGATTCTTAATACGGCACAGAGATTTAAACATTTAAACTTAACCCACAGGCACACAGATCATCCACCAGCTTGTCTTAATCAAACCAATCAACTAATTAAAAATTAGAAAACAAGAAGCTAATTAGTGACAGCCTTCATCTTCGTGTGCATTAAAAGTTCGTTTTCTCGTCGAGCTACGTAGCAAAAATAAAGAACCAAAAAAACATTTCCATTAATTCAATTAGTGTTATAATTTGCAGAATGACTGCATCTTCTGACAGAGCTCCAACTGGGAGTCCCTGCAGGAGTGCACGGAGAGCGAAGAAGACAGCATGTTACTACAATCATTAAATGTACCACTGATTACATAAGACCACTGGAAGTCTTAATTACCAAAAATAAAGCATCGGAAATGTCTTTGTGGATACTTTCTGCAGTCTTAATGTGAATAAAGTACGAGCTGAATATGCTAATTAATGTGTAAAAACATTTAGACTAATGCCAGCTCAGATGATCTCAGACTAATGTCTCTGATATTATTCACCATGATTCCCCTTTAAGCTACAGATTGGTTGGAAATGAAACTATTAGGCTTTTGCTGCTTTAATGAGCATTTAATGCTTAATATTAACCAACAGAATCTGACTAAGTGTTGAACTGGAGGCCAAGCAAACCTCAAGCTGGGCCTAATTAAGACCACTGCAGACATTTGAGTTTGTAATTTTGTGGATAATAACACCGCTGAAACAACATTAATGCCTAAAAGACTTTGCACCATCCTCTGATTTCCAGTAACTGCACAGACATTTCCAGTCAGATAACCTCCCAGCAGAGGGCTCTGAGGTGTTTTTGTGTACCAGACCTCCCAGTTTAAACCAGTAATCGAAACATCACAGTGAGGAAAACATGTCTTTATCTCTGCTTTATTGTTTTACACGTGAATTTGGCACAAAAAGCAGGTTACCAAGACAAATAGGATTCATTGCAGCCAATTAGTGCACAGTATGCTGCTCAGGTGTGAAGACAATTACCACACTGAAAGCTGTACCGAGCTCTGATCCAGGTCTTGTATTTTTGGACATTTGGGTGTCAGTAATCCTTTGGCCTTTCTGTATTATTAGATCCAATAGGAAGTGACAGGACTGACTGGAGAGTTATGACACTGGACAGCTAGCTGTGAAACAGAACCAGCAGCGTTGTGTGTTTCTGTCATAAATCACATTCGGGCACGATATTGGATACACACCAGATAATTGGTGTGAGCTATAATGGCTTCTTTTTTTTTAATGGGGTTTGGTTAAAATTAGGTTTGGGTTTTTTTCTGTAATTTGTGGCCACCTCCCCCAGAGGTACACCAAATCCGTGTGTGTGTGTGTGTGTGTGTGTGTGTGCGCACTCCTTGGGCCTCGCTGTCAGCCTGCCCCTGTAGCACATATCTGCACTAAGATGTGTTATGACAGAGGGGAACAACTTGTTCAGGAAGAGTGAATGCATCTCTCCTGAGTGAGGCTGTCTTAAAATGAACAGTGTGATTATCTGGACCCCGTAAGAGTACGATCAGCGGTGTAGTGGTATTAGAAATAAGTAAAATCCAACCTTTTAAAATAAAAAAAAGCACATGCATACATTTTTCTTCTGACCTTGGGCGGTCCATGGATTAGCGAGCAGTAAATCTCTCCCGAGCTAGAGACAAAAGAGCCAAGGCTATAATCTGCAGGATGCCACTGAGACACTGTGGGGTGACTTGTGAGAGACACAGCGGTGGGTGGGCGGTTACAAACAATGAGTTATTGCTTTTTAAAAAAAACCCTTTCAATGTTTAAGATTGTTCACTTCTCTGTCTCCATTTTATATTTTAAAGTTGACATCCACCCAAAATTTAACTTTAAATATAATGAAAAGCTTGCAAAAGTCTGTTTTTATATAACATAAACTCACCGGCCACTTTATTAGGTACCCCTTGCTAGTACCAGGTGGGACTCCCCAGTGATGTGAATCTCCCGTTCCACCACATCCCAAAGGTGCTCTAATGGACTGAGATCTGGTGACTGTGGAGGCCATTGGAGTACAGTGAACTCATTGTCATGTTCAAGAAACCAGTTTGAGATGATCTGAGCTTTGTGACATGGTGCGTTATCCTGCTGGAAGTAGCCATCAGAAGATGGGTACACTGTGGTCATAAAGGGATGGACACGGTCAGCAAAAATACAAGTCAGAAGAAAATCTCCCCCACCCCATTACACCACCAGCAGCAGCCTGAACTGTGATACAAGGCAGGATGGATCCATGCTTTCATGTTGTTTACACTAAATTCTGACCCTACCATCTGAATGTTGCAGCAGAAATCCAGACTCATCAGACCAGGCAATGTTTTTCCAATCTTCTATTGTCCAGTTTTGGTGAGCCTGTGTGAACTGTAGCCTCAGTTTCCTGTTGTTAGCTGACAGGAGTGGCACCTGGTGTGGTCTTCTGCTGCTGTAGCCCATCTGCTTCAAGGTTGGACAAGGTGTTGTTGCTTCAGAGATGGTCTTCTGCAGACCTTGACACCAACAACCATGTTGTGTTCAAAGTCACTTAAATTGTCTTGACCACGTCTATATGACTAAATGCACTGAGTTGCAGCCACGTGATTGGTTGATAAGCTATTTATGTTAACCAGCAGTTGAACATGTGTACCTAATAAAGTGGCCGGAGAGTCTATTTTGCTCTACATTTTCACAGGTGCAAATAATCATGTTGATAGTGGCTCTGTGCCATTTGAGAGTAAATAATGCCAATAAGCAAACATGGACAATATACCGGCGCTGCTGGTTAAAGTTGTGTGCCGTTAGAGGGTTGTGAACACTACACATCATCACCTTTTAGTGTTGGCAAACAGTTGATCATTTACACATTCAGCAGTTAAAGAGCAACATTATCATTCACTTGATGTGTTTCTGGCAACTTGGTGAATTCAGGTCCAGTGTTCACTCTGTTTAACTCTGTTTTTGATCTCTAACACCTCCTGAGAGAAATATCTGTCTCTTGTAGCTGATAAATGTTCCAGTATGTTTACCTGCTGGTCCCCTGACTGTGTCTGTCTGCTGTTGTGAACAGGTGGAGTACGGTGAGTTTTTAGAGCTCTGTCACCACGGCTGGCACCAGGAGTTTTTCTCTCTTGGTGTTAAAAGGGAGCTTGACCAAGACGTGGGGCTGCTAAGACAGCAGTTGATTTTCAAGACTTCAGAGTTACACTTAAAGGAAATTACCGTCTCTCTCCCAACTCAGCAAATACAGATGCTTGGTCAGTGGCCTACGTGGCCCCAACACCAAGACATAGTGGAGTAAATATGTACTTGAATTCATCTGAGAGCCAGAAACATATGGAAGTGCATTGCATCCTCAAAGAAAAAAAGATGCCCTATCTTGTAATCATGAGAAATGTTAGGCCCAGGCTACAGGATGGCAGTGGGCAATGATGTCGCATAATGTGCTTTTATCTCCTTCATAGTATGAGACACTGAGAATGATAATGTTACTTAATGTGGATGGCACAATGTTACTGTAGTATGTCAACACTGTTCAAGCATCTCAAGGTGCTGGGATTGTTTAGACAGTTAGCCCTCCTGCAGGAGCAGATAAACCAGCACAGGATGCTTCATGGGTATAAAAGTATTTATTTCCATTTTATGTCCAGCAAGATCTTTTCTTGTAATGAAAAGATTGTAATTGCAACATAAGGTGTTATTTTTTTTCTTTTGTGAATGCAATGCTCTTCTGCACAAACATGACGTCAAATGAATGTAAGTTGCCCCAAGTGAGCTGGACGTGTCGTAGGTAAGTTAGCAACTGTATGCGAACATGTTAGCCACAGCAAATAGGGCTAGCTGTTAGCTTGTTTTGGCCAATGACAGATGAGTGCAGCTCAATTAGTATCAGTCAACAGTTCAAGTTACACTGAAGCCCTGTTACCACCAAACACTTTCAGTATGGTACCTTAGGAACCAACAGTAACCCTTCAGACATGGTATCTACAGTAGACCCTAGCGTTTCCACCACAAACAGTACTCTTAAATGTAGGCGGGGTTGTTGTCACTCACTGCTCCGTCCAGCACTCACTGTATTTCCTCCTTTATCAGTCTGCACCTTGTTCATCGTCCACAGAACGAGGCTGCACGCTGACATTTTCAGAACAAAGTAAAACAGGCTGCAGTGAGAGTCTCTCTCCATGGGATATTTAAACATAGCAGGTTTGTGCATTTAGTCCCTCTCAGGCAAGCTCAGCTGGCCGTAGCCCACAGGAAACACGCTCCGCGACAAATGTCTGTATCATCTAAAAGAGACAATAAAAACTAAAGTAATGGTCAAAGTTGTTATTGAAATCTAAGTTGTTGATGGATTCAAGTCGTCAACTCATGCACTGAGTAACAAGTTAACGTTCCACCTTTAAAAGTCGCCGGCAGTCGGCCCAGTGAATTATTTTGCCCAGACTACAGCTGCTGTGAGAGGCAGCAAAACATCCTTTCATTTCATAGTCATAGCCAGCCACACTTGGCTCTGAGAAAAAAGGACCGTCCGTTATTGACCAATCAGACTGCAGTGTTCACAGCTCCACCTTTTAGTACCAGATCTGTGTGCTAGGTACCCCAACAGAGGGGGGACCAAAAATGAGGATGGTACAGAACGGTTCCATTGGTGCCATCCACAACTTTTCACAGTGGAAATGGAAAAAAGCATGTCGAACTGAACTCTACTGTACTGCTCGGCGAAAACAGGGCTTTATTTTTGGGATACTTACATTTCTTTATAAATCAGCTCTTTGTTGACACGTCACTTTTTTTTGTCTGACACTCAGCAGATGTTTCTCACTGTGATCTGTTAACCTTCTTTTCCTTTCAAACATTTCAGTTTGGACACTGTCACATAGACAGACAGGTACTACACAGTCTAGTTTCATGTGCTGCTTATGTTTCCTCTACAGTATCTACCTCTTTGTAACGTACCACTAAATGTTCTATACCAAATGCTGTTAATTTACAAAGCACTTCAACAAATTAGACATTATCTGAGATTATTAAAATGTAAAATGTGAAAGTTTTCACAGCAAATCCAGGGCTTAAAAATAATAACAGAGCTTTGGACTTTGTTTACTCACAAGATTCATCTGATCATTGTAAAATAACACGTTGGCATGGAACGTCTCGTGCGTTTGTCAGTGTTCTCATGCTTTCAGTTGTCATCTCAGTGTGTTTTACTTTGACATGATCAAAGACTTCTTTTGTGTGGGTGTTTTCACATGTGGTATGACAAATATGGCATTTCTGTTTGTTTTGTGTCAGGTGTTTTTAAATTATTTCTGCTCTTTCACCCCTGTGTCGTCACATTGTTGTAGCCCGTGTACATAACAGGGTGGTTTGCTTTGAGGCTGCAACAGATTTTTATTTTTTGAGGTTTTATCCCCAATTATCATCACCCCCCTGTCCCATTTACAACCATTACATTTGCTCCTTTTTGCCTTTTGCCAAAATAACGTGTATAGATTTGAGATTGTTTTACTGTCAAGCATTTTTATATTATGTCAAAAATAATCCTGAAAAACAATCTGTCGTTGTAAACTCTGCTTTTACAAAACCAAACACATTTTCTGCAGATTGTTTGGATTCTTATTTGATGTAAATGTCAAATGGCAACATGCAAACGTGCAAAGGAGTAATCATGCCTTATTTGCCAATGAAGTCTTGCGTAACTGACCCTTCACTAAGCCCTGCCATTTTGTGATAGAGGAGGCCACACTGTAACTGACTGCACTCCCTGAAGAAATATTATCATATTTTTGGAAAAATGAAAGAGTGATTCCAGAGAGAAGCAGACAGAGGAGTCTACAGTCTGTGTTTGAAGGATATATCCAGGATGTTAAACTGACTCTGCAGCAACAACAGGTTAAAAAGACAAAGATAGTTAGAAGCTAAAGCCGAACTATAGGCTACAGATCACAGTGTAAAAGTGAACCACCACATCACTGCTGATTGCCACACAAGATGAATATGAATATAAAGGGAAACTTTGCTGATATTGAACCAGCTGTGTGGCATCACAGTGTGTGCAGACGAACCGTGTTTGGCATCGCCCCCGTGCTGCTGCCAGCACCCTGACCTCCGGGATCTCCAGGGGAAGTCAAACAACGTTCACCTGCACACACTGCGATGACACAAGGCTGGTTGAATATCAGCAAAGTTTCCCTGCTTCCCTTCACTGGTTCCTGTACAGCAGGGTAGGTCTTTGTTTCACTGTTATAATCATTAAAAAGCAAAAGCAGCACGTGTATACATTCAGTAGGCTATAGCTTCAGTAGCTAGCTAGCTAACCGTACACTTTTCAGGGTTTGATTTTGGTTTTGGAACAGGGAAGAAACGTATATCTTTTTCCAATCTCTCCAGGTAACGAGTATCATTAATACACGACGTGCCCCAGGCACAACATTTAGCTCCAAATCCACAAAACCAGCCTGAAAATGAAGGAAATCTGAAACGACTGCATTAGAGTCAATGGATGCTACCTTACGATTGGCCAGTCTGCATCCGAGGGCGGGACTTAGCGAAGGGTCAGTTGTCATTAAAGTCAGATTGTGATGTTTTTAAAGGTGACACTTATTTAATTTTTCACAAATCAAATGCAGGAGTCGGTGGGGCGCCCCATGCACAAAGGCTGTGTCCTTGCCGCAGCGGCCCCGGGTTTGATTCCAACCCACGGCCCTTTGCTGCATGTCACCCTCCCCCTTTCACGCTACGCTTGTTCCATCAAATAAAGGCAACAAAAGGCAAAAATTGGTGGCCTGTTTCCATGTTCAAATCATTTTCATTCTCAGCTCAATAATCGTAATGTATGTCCTCGCCTTTAAAATGACCTCTATATAATTGAAGCAAACATTCTGTACGAAGCCGTTTGTTTGAAGCCCAGCAAAAATCTGCATATTCCTCCCTGGCAAATGCTGCACAGCACAATCACCTCGTTTGTTTCGATAATTCTCAGTCAAAAAAGCTGCTGAGATTAAAAAACACCAGCGTTATCCTTTAATTTGATGTATAATGACTTGAGGACTCTTGGAGTTTAAGTAATGACACTGAGTAACAGTATGTGAATCTTAATTATAAAACTGCTGAGCTTTAAAATAGAACGAAGCAAAATAGGCCATTAAAAATGTACATGCATCTCAATGATTACTTCGGGTATTAACCTTTTTTTTTACCATGAGTAAGTTTTGCTTGGAGGCTTTGTTAACATTTGAATATGCAAAATACGCCATATGAGAATTAATGTACTGTTTTCCATGACATTTAAAAATCGATGACTAGAGATATTAGACTGTATTTGCCAATAAGGAATACTTTATCATAATAATCACCAGCTAGAAATTGAACTTAATGATAAACACAACACTGTTTCCCCCTCAGACGCCCCTAAACGCTAACTCGACCTGTTACACTCTCCATAAGCACGCATGCACAAAAAGAAAAGAACGTAAAGTACTGCTAACGAGCATCTACTAACAAAAAAATAAAGGGAGCAGTGTTTGGATGTTTACTACATAAACAAAGTATCTGTGTTTGGCCTATATTTGTGTATAAGCGCCCCGTGTGGAGTGTGTAATGGGCCGTAGACCATCACGGGCACTAATGGAAAGGCAGGATTACTCCATCTTTTTAGAGATTGGGAAAACATTACAAGACAAGTGCTCATTTTTTAAAAAAGAAATTTGTGACAGCAAAACATTTTAGCAGGAAGGGACATTAAATCAAACTCCAGACAGGTTTTGTGGCCACGGTGAGGGGACAACCTCCATCATATCCTCACTGAATGGCCTAATATTGGCTCAGAATAACTGCTGAAGCATTCGATGTGTTTTCGTTCTTCCCTTTAAATTTGTGTGGAGAATCTATAAAGTCTACAAAAAATGATTTACTAGGCTCAAGACTAGACCCTTAACATTTTATTTCAGATACACTTTTGCTCCAACATTTGCTTTGTACTTGTGTCCTGTCATTCTTTAAAAGCTGTTACTTCTTTGCAGTTTTTTCCGTTGCACCAAATGCTTGACTTTGATTTAGATCAAATGTAATAGGCCTCAGCCTTTTCCCAACCCTAGCTATAGCTGAAGTATTTATATATTGGTGTTTTAAATATTACATGTATCAAATACTGCAGCCCTTCACCCCTTTCTTTCCCATTCACTGTCAAACAGATACCAACTTTGTCCTGGGAAATGCCCAGATAGTCGACTGGCCCATCGTCTACAGCAACGATGGCTTCTGCAAGTTGTCGGGGTACCACAGAGCAGAGGTGATGCAGAAAAGCAGCACCTGCAGGTAGGCAAGAGAGCGTCTGTGTGTCTGTAGTACACGTGTGGGGATTACAGACATCGCAAGGGGTGTGCCACATCAAGTGTTGGGCTCGTTACTCTAAAAATTTAATATATTACTCCTTAGTACTTTACTTATTACTCCCTGCCAACAGTAATTCATCACACTACTCGTTATATTACTTTTCCGTTACACCCCATAAAACTGGTATTTGCATATCTACCCAAAATAGCTAGATGTACCTGGGGGCTTTCTGTACATGCTGACATACTGACGTCAAACTTCTACCCACGGCAACAACAAGCATGTCTGAAAGCGAAGTTATTACAGAGTCAGTGTTGGTTCCAAAAAGAGGAGCAGCTTCAGTAGTGTGGAATAAACTGTGGCGTCCTGAATGTTTTATGAACAGCCCCGGACTTCTCAGACTCTTTTAGCGAGTTACCGCTCAGAGGGAACTCATCCAGCGGCTCCTCTGGCAGTAGCACAGCTTCTCTCCCTCTCCTCTCTCGCCATGCACACATGGGAGTCGGTGTCGTCAAGAGCTTTTGTCATAAACCTTTGGTAATTTAAATCTACGTGACACTTGTAGCTCAACAGAAAACTCCATATATGTGAATGTGTGATAGTTGTGGTATCGTAACAGCCTGTCACAGGTTACAGCGTGATGGTTACAGGAGAAATGGCAGAGCATAAATGTCCAGGTGGAAAAAAAACAACTCAATCATTTAGGATTTTACTAAAAGAAGGAAATCAGCTGTTGATTTATATATATATATATATAGATCCCAGGGGACTTTTTTTGTATTTGGGAGCTGTTTAAATGTGTAATTTGTGGTAGATTTTATTTAGTTGAACTATTAATATTGTAACAGAATCTGAATCTCACTCTGAGTTCCTGTTGTTGTTCACAAACTAAAGAAATGAGAGATAATTTTTGAGTAGCGCCCACCCCTAGGCATCACATGCTAAAGAGGTAAAATACTTGTTTCATAAATGTATTCAAGTAGTTGTTTATTGCTTACAGAAACACAAGAGAGAGAGAGAACATGTCAAACACAGCTTTTTTGTTTACCTTGTCCAGATTACAAACTAATTTGGAAGATAAATGAATTAGTTATATAGCATATTGGCATATTTTGAGTTCTGATATACAAGTACAAGATGAGCCAGAGAGATTGCAAGAGCTTGTTACAGCTACAGCTATCTTGTTAATCTGGATGAGCCTCATCTCGGCTGGCAACGCTAAAATAATCATGCTGTTGCTGCAGTTATTACACAGTCAGAGAAAGATTGACTTTCTTTACAAGTTTTTTAAATGTTATACGTGCCTGCAGTAAAAAAGGATCTGTTTTAAATCCCTGCATCATATAGACATGGACTGTTGCATTGTATGTGCGATGTGGTAGAACCCATGTTTAATTCTATGTATCTATTTGTGTTTATTTGTATTTACACCTCCTCCCACCTGTGTCCATATTTTGAGGTAACTGGAAGAGAGACTTACTTGAAACTTATTTGTGCCAGTGTTCATGCGCTTATGTTTGTGGTTTCTCTTTGTCTCTGTCTCTTTTAACATAATTCCTTATTCATTAGCAGGGTGAGAAGAGGAGTTAATGCATTAGCAGTTTGGCAAAACATTTTTATCTCATACTTTAAAATCAAATAGTGAGATTTGCCTCTGGTTAGTGGCAATTGCTGCAGTAACGTGGTCACTGAAACTGTTGTGGTAAAGAAAGAGTCAGAGGCTGTACTTGGGCCCAGCGGTCCTTTGAGCTAAATGCTAACATCAGCATGCTCACAATATTAGCATCAATATGCTTATGTTTATAAGGTATAATGTTTACCCCGTTAGTCTAGTGTGTTTACATGCTAATATTTGCTAATTATTACTAAACACAAAGCACAGCTGAGGCTTATTAGATTTTGCAGGTATTAAACCCAAACTAACATTTTGATGATGGTGCTGGCTAAACAGTCAGTGTTGCTGCTAAAGTTATTACAATTCATCATCTGAGGAAAATTAATATCTTTACCAGATTTTATGACAGTATATCTAGGGATGTAACGCTCCGTCGATCTTGATCAATATATCAATTCAGTCATAAATGACCCAGTATCATCAATGCAAAGGGAAAACATCTATCTACATCATCATTAGGATACGCTATTATTTTGAGAGTCACCATCAAACAGCAGCAGGCAGACGGCAAGCAACCGAGAGAAAGACAATGAGGATAACGTAATTTACTCAGGAATAAATCAGCAATCTGAAAATATTTTTCCATAACTGAGAAAAAAGGGGTCAACAGACAGAGCACACGGTGTACGTAAACAATGCCGTTACAAGATAAAACATGACGTAGCGTTGCCTGCCTGGCCTTATTCTGCTAGCTTCTCACTACAGCGACATTAGCAGCGCTGTTTTAACAATGTTCGGCTGAAAAATCATGCATGCAGGCTGAAATTCAAACTCTACACCCTCGCCCAAATACGCTTACCTCTAGCTCCAAACAAAATGGTCAAAATGCCAAACTAAAGGCTCAAAACGGCAGTCCACAAACAAACAGGTGACACCATGGTAGTTACCTCCATCATTATATACAGTTTACTGAGCCAGTCAAGTGATCAGCATTGCCATCCTGTCGAGCCAGGTTCCTCCACAGGGATGCTGGGCTGAGGGCCAACAGTGACGGTAAGAGGAGCCCAGTTTTCTAGTCTTCAGGGGCCTTTCTTTAAACTAGACCTAGATGTGAGGAGATCCTGGATCGACTACAACTCCCAATTCCCTCTGACAGAGTATCGCAGCAGAGGAAGTTAAAATCACAATATATTCTGCTATCTTTAAGCAAGACACCCATGATCATAATTAATATGATGTTTCCATAATTCAATACAGCTCAGTACATTTTTTTATCTCGTGCAAAGATAGAAACCAGATAAGACACAAATCTGTGATGTAATCAGGTTGTAACAAGTGAAACTGCTTCCACATCACTGACTGCAGCAGTCAAACTGTGGACAGTGTCCCAGGGGTGCTCTCTCCCAAACTGTTCACATAAAGGAGTAACAGGAAGTCTTTAAAATGAGTAGTTTACCTCTTCCACTGACTAATTTCTGGACTTGTGTTTATTGTGCTGGTAATAAGCGTGCCAGTAGGCACTATATTAATAGGATGACATAGAAACAGTTGGTGCTGCCAGATTTGAAAACCGTGGGAGATTTCTTCTGTTGTGGGAGAAGGCGTTTGTCAAAGCCAGGACTGCGGCGGCTATTACTGATTTAGACCCTCGGGTCCCTGAGCATAAGCTTCAGAGCAGTTGCCAATACAAATATTGAACAGAGTGTGTGACGACTTTTTTTTTTTTTAGGTTTATTTTTAGGTGACTTGATGCAGTGAAGTCTTTGTGTTTGTAAGAGGAAGGAGAACAGACCTAACTAGGTAACATTTGTCTTTTTGGCTATATGTATATATATGCAGTTGGTGTTATAAATATTAGCATAAGTTTGTGTAAATGATGATTAACTCTGCAGCAAGCTAACAAGTCTACATATACAGATTAATATAAGCAGACTTTACATTTAACATTTTAGTGTGTTGCATCTATTATTTATTTTAGGTTAAACATGTGTCTGTAAATCTGCAGAGCACCTGGTGGCTTTTACGAATGGTAATAACTTTGTGTAATTACTTATGTTTTCATCAAGGGTCATGAGATTAAAATTTTAATTGACCAAATACCTGCAAAACTAAACTTTTAAAAATATCGGATACAGCCTGTTTGTGGACTCCTGTTTTGAAGCCTTGAGTTTGGCATTTCGGCCATCACCATCTTGGTTTTTTTGCAGCCAGAAGTGACCAAATTTGGGGAAGAGGCTGGAGCTGTGGAGGAGCGTCGGGGGGATCTGACTTAGAGGCTGACAGCCTGTCACTCAAAGCAACCTGATCATGCACTTTAATCCTTTCTAACATGTAAACATTTGAGTTATATTAAAAATAACCCCCGTACAGTTGTCATGAAGGGGGAAATTAGCTACAGAGACCAAAACGGTTTTTGTACTAGGCTGTAAACATGTTTACTTTAAGATGTAGAGAGCATTTTAACATAGGAGTCTGTGAGGACTGACCCACTTCTGGAGCCAGTCTCAAGTGGCCATTTGATGAACAGCAGTTTTTGGCTCTTCCATGCTGGCTTCATTTTTTTTAGCCCCAGATGTTTGCGCTTGTTTCCAAGTGGCGTTATCAACAGCTGTAGATTAAAATGCTTCTCGACACAATTGGATAGACGCTGAACCAACGAGAGCAACGAAATGTAATGTAGCACTGAGCGATGGACAAATGTAAGCAAAGCATCCAGAGACAAGGCAGAGCTTGGAAGCCAATTTTAAATAGTGCCCAAACTTTGGCGTCTGTCACATGATGCCATTGAGCCAAAAAACACTTTTTCCCCATAGACTTACATTGTGAGAAAGAGGTTTGGGGTTACAATCTGACGTCTTGACATCACACTAGCTGTGAAATGATTTGTTTCACTGTCAGAATTTTATCCATTTAGTCCTATAACATTTTGAAACTCTAGAAAAGATGCGTGACTGAATGATTTTTTCCCTAGTCAAGTTAGCAGAGGGCTAAACTGGAAGTTGGCCAGCTCAGCCAGCAGAAGGCTATAGTGCGCTTACTCTATAGACCCATGGATATATAAGATCTGCATCATTTCATTATACCCAGGAAGCAGAACTTTTTTGGCTTCATGTGCCACTGAGCAACTTTCTTCGGACTGAACGAGGCCCCGCCTTCAACACTATATCCAGTTCTCTCTTTACAACCATAAACAGACCACAGTGTGCAGAGATGAGTTGTGATGGCGTAGCATCAATAGGTCAGCGAATGACTGTTGGCACTTTTTTCGTCAGAATTTGAATATCACTGCAACAGAAAGATCCACATCAGCCGCAGACATCTTGGTTGTTTTTGAAAATGCCTCGACGTCATCATCAAAAATTTTGCGTAAAGCACAAAAGCTCCACAAGCTGTCAGTCATCGTCTCAAACACGCCCCAATATTAGATCAGCAGTTAGTTGTGATTGGCCTGACCCGAGCCAGGTCGGCTGGAAATCTGTTTGTACAGGAGGATGAGCACACGTGCCTACCAGAGCAAATGAAACATGAGCTTGCAGATTCATCCGGTTCCCAGGCTCTGGGTATCACTGCCACTTTTATTATTTTTCAAATATACATCTATGCCTTTAATCATTTGGTCTTTTTAGCCTTTTCTCTGTCAAAAGCAATCTCCATGAGCCTGAATATGGGTCCATAAAAAAGAGTGCACATGTTTGATGTTTTTGGAGGATGACTCAAACATAAAATGTATGCTCATTTTCCCCGAGTGTTTAAGTCTAATATCTGAGCCTCTTTAGCTGCAGATGTGTGTGGATCAAAGATGTTATTTCCATCTCAACTGCTCTCGCTGTGTCTCCTCAATTATGTATATGTTTCTTTTTGTTCTATACCCGATCCTGTAAACATACAGTGACAAACCTGTGGGAATTTTTCACGCATGATGAGAGTCATTTGAGGAATCATTTTTTTCTTTGAAGCAAGTCACATTCCTCCCGGCTCAGAGAGAGAGAGGATATTCATCAGTAATATTACATCAAGCACTGGTCTGAAAAGTCTCTGTAGCGTCAGGATGTAGTCTCATTAAATTTAGCCTTCCTTTTTTATTTCATAACAAACTCTGAGTTATATTTAGATCACGCTGGAACAGGCTGCTACTGAGGGTGGCAATAACAGGCAAAGTGAGATGAATGCCTCTGCAGCGTGGTTAAATGTGCTCATGGTTGCTTGACCCATCTTCAGGTTTAATTTGTTTTTGAGAGGTACTTTGTATTATGGCCAATTAGACATTGGGCTGCATTTATCTTTTTTTATGCTTTCAGGATACATTTCAATGAGTTTTAATGTACTTTTACTGTATATTTAATACACCCTAATGCTGTGAACGTCTCCAGGGGTCTCGAGGTAGCAGTCAGGAACTGGTCTGCAGAGTTAAGGTGCAGCCTTTGATAAATGGCATCATTTTCTTTCTGGAAAAGACGCAGTGAAATTTAGGAAATCACGGATAAAACAGGATACTGAAGCTCAATTAGGTTGCACAAAAAACTCCCGTCAAACAAATTGGAGACCAGAACAAAGTACCACAGTAAGACTGGGGAATACTTGGCAACTAACACATTAAGACATTTACACATTCGAGCCCTCTGCAGCACACTCGAGTGCAAGAACGAGCATGCCTGTCGAATGTGCCGCTGCCTATTAAATATTCAAATTGTTATTTCCCTTTCTGTCTTCCAGCTTCATGTACGGGGAGCTCACGGACAAGGACACGACGGAAAAAGTGCGACTAACGTTCGAGAATTATGAGATGAACTCGTTTGAAATACTGATGTACAAGAAGAACAGTAAGTAGCGGCGCCATATGTGAGGGAAAGAGAAAAATGTGAAGTTTCCACTCTCTTGTCATGCAAATGTATTCAGAGCTCCTGTAACATAAAGTTGAGTTCAAAGGCAGCCTAGAACATTTCTACCTCTGTAGAAATGTGCTAATTGGTTGAGAGCCAGACCAGAGAAACCTTCCCCCCAGAAAAAAATGTGGTGATGTGTTTGTTTCCACTCGCAGGTGTAACCTCCCTCTGCTTGGAAAACACGGAAAGTTTTGAAAGTCCAGAACATTTCAGTTCACACTTTCTGCTCTATTTGCACCCAGTGTCATTCCCTCTAAAATAAGCTGCAGCTGAATATGTGTGTCGTTCTTTTTATACTTTCAGGGACGCCTGTTTGGTTTTTTGTGAAGATTGCTCCTATACGAAATGAGCAAGAGAAGGTGGTCCTGTTTCTTTGCACGTTCAGTGACATCACAGCCTTTAAACAACCCATCGAAGACGATTCGTCCAAAGGTTAGTCGACGAATTTAATTTGTTCAACTTCATGTTTTCAAATAGGATGTAGTTCTTCAGCTGCCAACGAAAGTTCATTCAGACATCGCAGTCTCTAAGATCTCCCTTTCATTGTCTTGGGTGGCGTCCAAACAGTGTCTCCTGTGTGTCATCTGTCAGTTGGCACCTGGTCATAGTGACTGTTACTTGCAATGCTAGCAGAGGCCATACAAAGACAGTATGCCACCTCACACACGAGTGAGCTAGGGCCCTGACACACCAAGCCAGAGTCCTGTACGGGTCCATTTCTGAAAACCTGCACCAGCCCATACCCATAAAGCTCAGTACCAGAACCGACCCGTTACCCGACATTATGTCTAAGTCAAAGCCCCGCAACCCGACCCACACCTGTGATTAAATACACTCAGGCTACAGTCACTCACTTTAAGCTGGGTTCTCCGTTCTTGAATTCCAGCGGAGGAGACGTCTCTTTCACTGGTTGCATGTGATGCCGAGATAGCGAAAACATTCCCCGCAGTCACTGTCAGGTTAGGAAACATTTTAGCTCCTACCACCACCATAAAACCGTAAAAGGATCCCCATCGAGTGTCTTGAACTCGATGTAGGCTGCCACCTCTTCCTCCGGCTACAGATTTTCAACTCTGGGGTCCTCCACGTCGGTTACAAATGTGACGACAGGGTCAAAGGTTCAACTCGTGTCATTGACTTTCAGAATAAAAGGAATTGCGGCTTGATAATGGTGATTTGGATGTCTAAATATGACACGCATACTGCACATCTTTCTCATTTGTTTCATTCCGAGAAATAAAAGATATATTTTTATTCTCACCTGCTGCCCACCCACATGTCGTTCAGTTTTATCCGTTTTATCCGTATTTATACATATTTGAACCCGTCTTAACACGTTTTTGAGGGGTACCTCAAATTCAAACTCAAGCTGATGGTCGGCCGTTGGTTACTGTCCAGCCGTTGCCCTAGTTTCGGCAGTGTTTCCTGCACCATTGGCCCTCATTGTCTCTTGTCTGCTTTTTCAGCTGAAAATGAAATCACTGTGGCAGTTGAGTTCAGTGCACAATAAGAGAAATGGATGTAAGGAAATTAAACAGCTCAAGTCATGAGGAAGTGTCCTATTGATCTTCCGGTTTCCCTTTACGAATAATGAATACAGACCACCGCTGCCTGCGTCCATGAAGAGTTATTTTCTCTCACACAGGTGCAGAATGTGCAAGCTAGTTGGCTGTTGGCTGTAGTCTTTGTGGTGTGTTCGGGTGCAAATTTTTGGCCGAGACACAGGTGACAATCGGCCTTCGTCATGTGCTGGGCCTTTAAAAAGCAGTTTGTGACATAAACACCGCCTATCCTCTCTGGCGGACCAACCGCTGCTGGGTGATGGAAAATGCATCACTAACTGTGTGCCGCCTTTAATTTTTCCCGAGAATGTCACCGCAGATGCTGAGTTCATGCTGCTTTCATCAGTGGGCCATAGGCTCTGTTTCCAATGTGTGATTTAAGACATTACATTAAGAGTGATTTAAAAAAGGAAAGATGTATTTACTTTCATACTTCAAATGGCCCAATAAGATCCTTTTTCTCTCCACACTGTGTGGCAGACATGTGTTACCTAAAACTTTTCACACAGAGATGTAAAAATGAGAGCGGCAGAGGTAACATTAGCTCGCCAGCGATCACCATCCAACCCTGCGTATTGTGCATCTGCTCTGGCAAACACCCACTCAGTCAAATACGCACCCCATCATGATGGTTATCAGCACACAACACAAAAATATGACTCACTGGACCGTGTAACCGCTGAAGACAGCCAAAATAGAACATGAATTGGTGCAAGTGAGCGACTACAAACAAGCCGTAGTGGGGAAAAAAACAGGATGTGGATATGGAGTGAAACTGAGATTGTAGTTCGGCATCAACAGGTAGCGCTCTGCTGTGAAGGCTGTTGCATCAGGAAATACTTAAGCTGCAGCTCTCTGTCTTACACGGGACATGGCCTGCAGGCAACAAAAGCAAGCATGAGTTTGTGCTGCCGGAGTAGAGAGGAGAGAGTGGAGAGAGAAGCAGCAGCACACATAAGCAAAGTTAGGATTGTCTTACTGTCATCATGACTGCAATCACTCTCTGACTTCATCCAAAGACTTTAAACCTACAGTAACAGATTTAGTGGCCACTTGAAACAGTGGAGTCCAGCTATAAAGACAAAATTGACATATTATCTCTGTTTGATTTGGTATGGTGAACTTTCAGTAGCCTTTTTACACAACCGGCAGAGACAGAGTGAATGTGAGTCCAACATCCAGTTTAATTTCAGCTCTGTTTTTAGTCTCAACCAACTCTCGAGCGAAAACCTGGGTAGTCGCTAACTTTGTTTGTCCCAGTAGATAATGTAAAGCATTTTTTAGGGATTTTGTTCTGCAGAAAACAGCTGCGTGCTGCAGCCAAAAACAATGAGAGCAGTGAGAGTGAACTAAAACACTGAAGCTGTGTCCCAGAAAACAAAAACCTCATCTTAAAGATGCCATAAAGCTCTCAGATGCTCAAGGGAAACTGCTTTAAATAGTTTAAAGTAACCTGTGAAAGGAATAACCGTCGTCGAACCTCTGGTTCTGCTGCATTGATTTTAATCCTTTTTTCAAACTATCAATGACAATATTTTCCCAGCTGGACACCTTTATCGTTAAATGTTGATATTTGGTTAATTTAGGTTGGGACATTTGGGTGACCAAAATTCAATGTCAGGGTGTCTAATGCCAATGTCAGTTTAATGTAGAATACTGACAACAGATGATGTTGATCCTCTGTTGGTTTTTTGTTGCGGTAAGTAACAAAATCCAACTTCCTCTCATGCCAGTGCCATCTTGATGTAGAGTGGCAGCGTGTAGTTGTGAGATATGATGAACAAAACCCAACATCTGCAAAACGTCATAATGTTAATGTTCACACAACGTGAAATTCTAACGTTAGACATTTAAAATGTCATTATCCGGGTTTTCATTACAACAAAAATTATAACATGTTCTCACTCCCAACTCGTCAAATATCACTGTTTGTCAGTGGACTTTCACATCTACATTATGACGCTCTAGGTATCCTGGTTGTGTCTGTTGTCAAATTACGCCTGTTACATGCATTGTGTCTCTTAAGAAGAAGGAAAAAGGTATACTTCATTACTTGTGTCATTACTTCATTCATCACTGAGGGGAAATTCAATTTTTTCACCCTGTTGTTATTTACACACAGGCCCAAAATGCGCACACAAGCACAAATTAGACCTATACATGCATTACATGGAGAGATGCCAGAGCGAGGTGGCTGCCCCGAGCAGTAGGAGGTTCCGTGCCTTGCTCAAGGGCACATGGACAGTGCCCAGGGGGCAAACTGGCACCTCTCCAGCCACCAGTCCATGCTCCATGCTTGGTCCGGACGGGGATTTGAAATGCTGGCTGTCCAGTTCCTAAACCAAGTCCCCATGGACTGAGCTAGTGCCGCCCAGTACACTTCCATTTTCACAGGAAATGTACAGTTTCTGCTCGTTAGATGCAAACAGTCTTTTTTCTAAATAAACTCATGTCAGAAAAACAACTTGTGTTTATGTTTATTTCTGTGTGGAACAAAAGTGCGTGGTTAGGTTTAGACAAAAAAACATCATGGTTTAGCTCAACATTCATTCAGGAAATCACTGACCAAGCAGCGATATTTGACGAACTCGGAATAAGGACGGGCTTATCCAATGAAGAGTCCAATGTTTTTCCGAGGACATATTGAAGTCAGGGGCCAGCTAGGACAGGGGTGCAATGCTAAATTAGTTGAGTGCATTTTTATTTGGATGATTCGCTAACAATTGTAATTCTTTATGGATCAGGAGAAAATAATTTCAAGTTCTTGAAACCGCCAGAAAGATGGATTTAATTCAGCAGGAAGATGAGTGTAAGAGCTCCATACAAACACAAAAAGTTATGTCGTAGAACAGAAACAAGGATATAAAACCTACATTTTCACAGCCCTGCAACCCAAACATGTTCTTGTTAATAGTGCTCTACAAATACAAGTAATTAACACAGTTAAACTCATTAGTTACAATCTTTAAAGTATTTTTTCTTAGCACCCTTAGCAATTGTTTAATCCTAGAAACTGTATTTTTAGGACCCTGACTCTGAGTCTTTTCACAGCTCCCACAAACTCTGAAAACATGCAGTGGCCCCAGGAATTGACGCAGCAGCAGAACACATATTGAAAATCATTATGTAAAAGTTTGTGCATACTGTATGTGTTTCTGATCCGCAGGCTGGGGAAAGTTTGCCCGACTGACTCGAGCTCTGACGAGCAGTAGAGGAGTCTTACAACAGCTGCAGCCCACAGTTCACAAAGGAGAGAATGTCCACAAGCACTCCCGCTTAGCTGAGGTACGAAGGATGCACGTCATGTTTATTTCTGTTGTTGATTTGGTAAAAATAATTACTGTTTACTTTGGAGAACAAACTTTGGACACTGAGAAAATGTGAGTCTTTTAGATCGGGTCAACTTCTAAGACTTACGCAGCGTTTCTTCTGAGCAGGTGAGCTGTCGTCACAGTCAGAACGACATGATTTAAGCCGCAGTATTTTTGGCCTCCTGCTGCGTTTGTTTCTTTATGTTTCTGTCTGCCGAGTTTACCTGACTCACTGTTTCTCGGCAGGTCCTGCAGCTCGGCTCAGATATCCTACCTCAGTACAAACAGGAGACCCCCAAAACCCCTCCCCACATCATCCTGCACTACTGCCTCTTCAAGACCACGTGGGACTGGGTCATCCTCATCCTCACCTTCTACACCGCCATCATGGTGCCCTACAACGTCTCCTTCAAGACCAAGCAGAACAACGTGACGTGGCTGGTGGTGGACAGCATCGTGGACGTCATCTTCCTGGTGGACATCGTTTTAAACTTCCACACCACCTTCGTCGGACCCGCCGGCGAGGTCATCTCAGACCCCAAGCTGATCCGTATGAACTACCTGAAGACCTGGTTCGTTATCGACCTGCTGTCCTGCCTGCCGTATGACGTCATCAACGCCTTCGAGAATGTAGATGAGGTGAGTGCGGCGGTTCTGTTAATCCTTTAGTCACATTTGAAGCCTTTGTGGCAAACATCCACTGGTTTTAGCTTCTCAGATGTGCGGATTGGCTGCTTCTCTTTGTGTTGGTGATTGTAAACCAGATATTTTTGGGTTTTGCACTGTTGATCGGACATAACAAGCAATTTCAATATATCACTGACAGGTTTGGGGAATTGTGGCGGCCATCCTTCTGATATTTTATGCAGAATAATTGATGTGGGGTGGAAACAACGATTGGTTGATCAGATGCAAAAATAATCAGCAGCCATTTTATTCATTGATGAGTTGCTTAATTTAAGTTTTAAGATAAAAGGACAAACATTGCCTGATTCCAGCCTCAGGATTTTCAGTTTTTCTTTGTCATATATCGTTGTAAATTTAATATCTTTGGGTTTTGGATTGCTCATCAAACAAAACAAGACATTTGAAGACGTCACCTTGGGCTCTGTGAACGTTTGATTGGCTTTTTTGGACATTTTACAGACTTAACAGTTAATTGATTAACAAAAAAACAACAATAACATGTAAATAGCTAGGTATGTATGTGAGTATGTGTATGTATGGAAGTGGGAATCACCAGAGGCCCCACAATACACTATTCTCACAGTACTTAAAAAGGAATACATCACCTGCAAAATGACTATTTGTATAGTAATTACTCACAGTGTGTAACACAGAATTTGTGAAGAAAACTTAGTTTGTCTTGCCCCAACAATGAAAGAAGAATCCAAAAAGGCAAATATTTGTCATAAACTACAGTAATGGGGGTCTGTGTATATCAAAACACCAAACATTTGTTTACTAACTCTCACACAGCTCATGCAGTATAATCCAAAACCCATTTAGGGGCTGTACATATGCACCATCTTTAACCACCTGGCAAAAGAGAGGTTTGGTGCTGGGTGCTACTCTTGTGCCTTTTCTGTGCCAGCTTTCAAGAGCGTGTTTGCTAAGCAACCTCGACAAGCACGGTATCATAGCCCGTTTACCTGAAATCCTGAGTGCAGAGCTGGGGACCGTTTCACAAAGCAGGTTTAGTGAAAACTCTGAATCTGTTAACCCTGAAATGAGGGAAACTCTGGGTTTTCCGTTTCAGAAAGGGAGGTAACTTAAACCAGAGAAAGAAGAGTAACTCCAGCCAGTTTCAGAAAGAGAGGTAACTGAAGCTCGGTGTCAGTTACTATGGCAACTGACTCTGTGAACCTAACCTGGTCGGGAGCAGGTTTTCTTCAATGAACCTCGAGTTTCTAGCTGTCTCCTCCCTCTTACGCCACACACGCAGTTGTATGTCATCCGTCGTGACATAACCAACGTCACCAACCGTGGACGTGCACTTTCATCTACCCAGATTCTTTGTGTTGCTCTTCGGTTTTTTGCAAACAGGAGTTTTCTGTATAATACTGGAGATGCAGAAAATATCAGTAAGGCCACTGTCTGCAGAGCTGTGAGAAAAGTGTCCCTAGCTCTGAAACATCTATTAAACTCTTTTGTTGTGTTCCCTGGACATAAACCTGTGAGGGTCATCAAGGAGAAGTTCCACAGGATTGCAGGTGAATGATGTAGAAATCAGTTAAAATTTATGATTATAAATCATATTCAGTTAATGACATGGTGCTGCAACCTCAGACTGGGATTAGTCATTTTAATTTCTTTTAGGATTTCCCGGTGTGATAGGGTGCATTGATGGAACCCACATTCCCATCATTGCTCATTCACAAAATGAAGGAGACTATGTGAATATGAAGTCCATTCACAGCATTAATGTGCACTGCAAAAACTCAAAATCATACCAAGAATATTTGTCTTATTTCTAGTCAAAATGTCTCATTTCTAGTCAAAACAAATCACACCTAAAAGTAATTTGTTTTTAGACCATTTTCACTTGAAAAATAATGAGGTGGGATTGCATCTAAGTGAACTAAATTTAAGCTTTAACACCATTCCACCTGTTTGCATCTGTAGCCTAATATTATTGTGATTGCATAAATGTATAAAATAAATTTAAACTTGACTCGAGCAGTAATTTTCTCCCACGCAGACTCTCAGCTGTGTTACTCTTCTTCCTGAAAACAGCTTCAAATGCGCTGTATGAGCGCATTAAAATATCCAACTCAAGAGGAGTAAAAAAATGCAGACCTTTTCTTGTAGCTTGTTGCCCTGGTGACTCGTGGTATCAGGGCTCCATTGATGGCGGCTTTTTAAAATCGTGGTGCATGCGCTTAACTCAGAGTGAACAAACTCTGTTTTGATTGAACCGATTGAAATCACCTGTTCTGAAACCCGTAACCCAGAGTTTCTCATCTCAGAGTTACTCAACTCAGAATTCAGGGTTAGGCTCAGAGTTTGTTGAACCTCCTTTCTGAAACGGACCCCTGATCTTCTGTTTATAAGTGTGTGGACCTATTGTCCGTGGGACAGATGTAAAGCTCTGGGTAGCCCTGCACTAACATGATCAACTACTTCTTCATATTTAACACAGACTGATATTTACAGAAGAAGGGAAAGATATCTGCCGGCTGTGATGTTCCAGAAGTTGAACTCTGTTAATCTCAAAGCGTAGCTGTCATGCTTTGAACAATAGGCACTTGGGAACGTGTGCACGCTGTGACTGCGTCGCTCTGGCATTACTCTGGCGTCACTCTGGGGTTTGAGCTGCCTTCTGCGCATCTACGTTAAAAACAATGACTTTGAGGGTGCAAAAAATGCGGCATGTGTACAGCCCCTGATGCAGCTGTAATTCCTGAACACAACACGGCCCCCATTTTCCTCTTCACAAATTCAGTGTAACACAGGATGATTGACTGATATACGTATAGTCATTTTGCAAGTGAAATATTCGTCACCATACAACATTTTTGTGATACACTGAGTATTGCAGTAACATAATTGCAATTTATTACCTATTTTCAGCTACCGATTATTTCCCGAAAGAAAAACTTTGTAAACATCTGTTTTATAGGATATATCTTCATATCTGTATATCATTCATTTTGATTGCAGAAAAAAATGTAACTCATGGTCTGAATGAGCAAATGATTTTATTAAGTAGTGTTTTAGAAATATTTCCAAACACAGAGTCAGACTCATTTGGTGAGTCACACTGTTACACACAGTCCAATTTTCCATTTCATGGGCTTCTTGATATGTAACAAGATAATTATTATAAATCATATAATCAGAAAATATGTATCATGTGACATAGCTTGGTGGAGGAGATGTTTTAATCCATAACTCAGATCACAGACCAACAAAGTAAAAATCATCTGTTTTAGTGGCCGTAATTTAATAACCTGAATCATTGTGCTGAAATCAAACATCAGAGAGTTCTTGAGGATCGTCACCATAGAAACAGCACACAGTAAGCTAGCTGAACTAGCCGTCTCCATGCTGACAGATTGGAAAAGTTGACCTCGTGCCCTGTCCACTCAACTTTCTGCCATTAAATTGGGCTGGAGTTAAAATCCAAGAGGTGATCATTCCTGAGGTGACTGACAGGTTATGAGGTTTCCACGCAGGCACTCAGCCACATTTAACAACGCCGTGACAGTGAAGACCAAGCTCTGTTCACTGGTTGTTGTTTTGTGTAGTGACAGTGAGAAAAACGAGGTTGGAATGAGCAACATAATAATATGCTTGTTTGTGAATTCGTAAATGTTGGACCGTAATGAGGAGTGTCTGCTGGAGAGCTATCACAGGATCTTGAGATAATTGGCACGTTTTAATTGGGGAAGGAGCGTTACATTATTAAACTGAGGCGCTCCTCAGCGCTCTGCTGTGTCACTGATGCCCTAAAACCATTAACACCTAATGACAGCTGACAAAAGGACCAAGTCATGTGTGATTAAAGCTGAGGCATGTTGTGCTACCAGACGAGAAGTTTGAGTTGGTCGCAATTACACTTTTGCCATCTGCTTATATATGTGCATAAATGAGAGTGTATGCTGGTGTTGGAACTGAAAATGTTTCTCTTTGACCAGTTTTCTTTTGCAAAATGGAAGAAAAACAGGTTGTTCAGTTACGACATAATGTTGTATACCTTCATTGAGGGTGGAAAATAACTTTACAGAATGCCTACATGTGAAAATATTGCATGTGTTTGCTGATTGTTAAATCTCCAGCTGCATCTGATTGAAAATATCTTTTATGGTGCAACCACAGTTTTGAATCAGGTCCAAGTGTCCACACACACATTGATTAAATGGGGCCTCAGAGTCCTGCACTTGCCGGTTTTCATTCTAATAATGCATCATTGTGTGAGTGTCTGTGTGCGCCTGTGCGTCACGTTTCATGGTGTGTGTGTGTGTGTGTGTGTGTGTGTGTGTGTGTGTTATTGGGGCTGTGTAAAATGCTGTGAAAGCATTAAACAACGCGGTGCGTCACACAGCAAGCAGCACAGTGTATGTCGGCTCTCGGGGGCTGGCGGGTAGCAAACACAGTACAGGGTGATATGAAATGCTGGGGTAATGATTTAAAAATAGAGGCTTGTTGGTTGGCTGCGAGCTCTGAGTGTTATTTGCAGGTCCAGCATTTTGGCTGCTTTCTAGTCTTTCAGTGCTTCAGCATCCTAAACGCTGACAAGTTCAAGTGGCCGGAGCAGAAGCAGTCAGAGGTCAGCAGGAGGGGAAAACAACAAGCTTTGTGATTTAGAAGATAGGGCCACTGTTATTTGAGCTTTCTAAAAGAGCCACACCGTTGCTTTGAGAGACAAATTCCTTCATTATGCCGATGGCTATGTGTGAAATCTGAAATTAGTCAATTAATTTTTAAGCAGAAATGACACAAACTCTTTGGTTACAGCTTCACACACCTGACTATTTGCTGGTTTCCTTGATAGTAAGTTAAATATTTTAACATTTTGTTTTGTTGGACAAAACAAACAATTTAGGCTCAGGGGAATCATGTTGTGCATATTTTACCCTCTTTATTATTCTGCAAACCAAATGATTTGTTGATTTTTGGCGCCCTGTGGAATTTTC